TAATTTATTTATCAATCTATATATATATATATAAAATGCTACCCTATGCATTAAATAGGGTAGCATTTTATATTTACACCCCCCAACATTAGCCCACCCTATTCTTATTGGTATTTATAATTAAGACAGTGAAATTAAATCTATGCAAACAAATAATTATATTGTAATGCTTAAAATTTATGAAAAATAAATGTATAAGATTGTAATACATTACATAATAAGTATTTGTGTAGTTACAATTTTTTTTAGTCTTTTGGTTTTATTTTTTTATGTGCAATGCCCTTCTATTTTCCTAATTATATACAATTATTTTACCTTATCATTTTCTTTTCTTTCATTATTAATTTCCGTTATATATATTAAATCATAAAGGAGAAGGGATAGAGATACACCTTTTTGTTTTCCTTTTCATATAAAAACCAAATTAAATTTTAACACATATAAAACTTTTCATATTCTACTATTAGTTATTAAAATATTAGTTATATTTTGTCACGCCCCAAAACCTAATTTCGAGACGCGACAGACGCCGTGCACTCATGAGACGGGTCCCACAAATGCACAAGGCTCAGAACTTATCATATTCACACTCTGATACCATCAAAATCTGAAGATCAAATTATAAAATCTCTCTGATATCATAAATCTCCAAATACACTCTGGTTTACAAGATCATGATTTACTTCTAAAGTCTATATCAATCCCGAAATGGCTAGCTTTCTAACTCTTCACTTCCCGTGGTTTCCCCGTCCTCGGTTTCGGTTCCTGAAATGGTGGACAAGGAAAAACTATGAGATAAACTCAGTAAGTAAAATATGGCGTGCCCTTATTAAACTTATAGCATGCCAACAAGTACAATCACAAGAAACGGATACAGTGCGGGAACGAAATAGATGTCTCCTCTACAGGTCATGGCCAGTGTTTAAACCTCCCACTGGCAGGCAACAGGAATTACTAGTGTTTAACTCCCACTAGCAGGATTACAGGAATGAACCGGTTCTAACAAGAACATATCGACATGTGCCGACATGTGCTAGCATTTAACCCCCACTAGCAGGGTTACAAGAACATAATCACATCGGAGACAAAACAGGCTGAAGTTAACAGAAAAACATAATTTACCAATCGCTTTCAGATCATTAGGACAATCATTAAATTTCAAGTAGGCATGCTCAATTTAATGAAAAGCATAAGACCTTTCACTTCAAATCAATCATGCTCGTGTAAAATAAGTTTAGTCCCGCCACCACTTTAAAAACAAATCAAAACATGCTTTTAAAAACTATACGGGCATTACCATAAATTTACTTACCTCACTCGCATAAAACCGAGCACTCAATCTCAGTGCTAACTGACAGAACGATCAGGAACCTAATCAAAACATCCAAGAATTAATTTCGTACTATCACAAATTCACACTGAAATTATCATTAAGATCATTCCTAATCACAATGCTATTTCCATAAATCTCCACATTATCAGATATCTCTCAATTCGTTCTTATATCACAAACTAATCATTTAAATTCCCGTTAATTGTTGGCCCTCGAGGTGTGAACAGTAATTTGTGAACAGTACCGTGAACAGTACCCGTAAACAGTAAACACGACGTGAACAGTAACTCTACTTTCACAAATTGGCCAAAACACTACCTAATTCACGGGATTTCTCTCCAAAAATCACAGCAGTCAATTAACACTCAATCACACAAATTCCACTTGAATCAATGCTTAAACTTTATCCTAAAGCTACCGGAATTATCCCCCATTTTTAGCCAAATTCGGACATCACAAAGCAGCAACTTTAAATGGATAATTTAAGCCTTAAATGGCTGTCACATACCATAATTCTCCAGCTGTAGAAACCGGAGCTGTAGGGGGAGAGAAGCCGGCGGCAAGTGCAGGGGAAGCTCACGGGAACTACCCAAAATTGGAGGAACAAGAGCAATCAAAGTTAACCCAAGCCAATTCAAGCAAGAACAAAGGAAATTAGGGGCTGTTCTTACTGAAAATTCAAAGCAATTCGCCCCCATAAAGCTGGAGCAGCCGGCGGACAAGAGAGGAAGGACAGAGCAGATCCGGATTCTTCAGCAGGGGGGAAAGATTTCTGGGTTCCAAATCGGGTTCTTGGACAAGAAGAGAAGGGAAAATCATCAAGCTTTACCGGTTTTTCAAGGGAGGAAGTTGCCAGCAGCTTAGGGGCTTTGTTCGGCTGCAGCGGGAAGAAGAAGAGCAGAATCGGGAATGGCTGGGGAAGAAAAGAAAGAAAGAAAAAAGAAAAAGGAAAGAAGTTGATCCTTCTCCAAAACTCTTCCACTTTTAAGTCCCTCAGCTTTCAGAATGTTGTCTATTAAGCCCAAAACAATCTTTTCTCACAATCAAGTCCCTAACTTACTTATTTATCCTAGAAAATTTTGAGGTATTACATATTTATTATATTTAAATTTAGTATTAAATTTTTTAAAAAAATATTTGTAACAACTAGAACTCTTAATCTTCCTTCTCTAAGCCTATAAAAAACTACAAAGCTCAAATCTCCAAGCCTC